ATGGAAAAAGCTGTCGGTATATCATTGAAATTATTTTTCTGTAAATATGAGGGTCTATACAGATGGAAAAATTTTTAAGATTTCTCAGGTCTATACCAACGGATAAGTCTTCCATCGGAATAGACTCAAGGGTCTATACAAATGGAAATTCAAGAGATTTCTCAGGGTCTATACCAACGGATAAGTCTTCCATTGGAATAGATCTAAGGGTCTATACCATCGGATAAAATCTTCTATCGGAATAGACCCAGGGGTCTATACAAACGGATTAGGCATTGGTATAGACCCTATACTGACGAGGTTTCCACCGACTGAAAGTTAGTCCGTTGGAATAGTCCTGGGGGTCTATACCAACGGAAAACGGGTCTATACAGACGGAAAAGTTCCGTCAGTATAGGTGCATCTCCTTGTAGTGGCTCTCACCACTTACAGGGTTGTACAGAAGAATTATACCTTGATCAACTGGAGGATGATTCTTTGTTTTCGCTGAAAACTTTATGTTTGCCACCTATGAAGCGGCTTCAATGTCTGTCATTCAAATTCACAAGTATGGAAGAAGTGAAGATCAATTGGGAAAAGGAAGGAAGAAAGATACAGACACCATATGACTTTCAAACCTCTGTGATTGCAGGCGAAAGAAACTTCTACAACTTGTGGACGGTCGACATACTGTCCTGCCCAAATTTAAAGGACATTACATGGATCATTTGGGCCCCAAATCTGAGAAATCTCTTTGTGGCTAACTGCCATAGAATGGAAGAAATAATTAGTGAGGGTGGAGTTGCAGCGATGACCGGGGATCTTATCTTGTTTGAGAAACTCCAAAATCTGAGATTATTTTCTTTGTCAGAATTGAAGAGCATCCACAGGTTTGCACTTTCCTTCCCATGTTTGGTTGAAATTAGAGCAGTTGATTGTCCAAAGCTGAGGAAAATTCCACTTAACTCCAATAGCGCAGAAGGGCGTAGAATCATCATTGGAGGAAACCAACAGTGGTGGAATGAGCTAGAATGGGAGGATGAATCCGCACGGGACACTTTTCTCCCCTCTTTCCAACCTATAGATTAAGGCTTAGTTGGACAACATTGTCTGGTGCTGCCTTATAGATGTAATTGTTAAAAGTATTGTGTTATATTGTTACAAAAAGTATATTGTCACCAAAAATATTTTTAGTATTTGATAATTATATTTTAAAATAATTATCTAGTGTAAAATTATTTAATTAAACATTATTATTTAAAGTTAAATTTATCAATAATCTAAT